CATTTTGACTAATCTACACTCAAGTTTCACCCACGACCATGGCTTGTATTCGATGATGAAATTTTATGATGTCAAGTAAACAAATTTGTATATAAGCACGACATCAAAAATATCTTTAGTGACAATTAATTAACAACAACAACTTAATTACAGTTATATATATAAATATATGTGTGTATTTTGAACAACAATTAACACTCTTCGTAAATGTGTCTAAACCCTATAGCGATATTTGATCCAATAATAATTAACTAATGTGGTAAAGACCTCTTTATTAATACGTATATTTATTGTCGTTAAAAATGATTTTTATCGTACTGAAGTCATTTCTGGTTAATATTGCAAAACAAACTAACTTCAAGTATTATTCTTCAACAAGTGGCAACATATATTGCAATCAAGATAAATTGCAACCTTTTAATATTTCTCTTTGTATGCATATAAGTTACTTAAAAGTAAACATGAACTAATTGCATATTATAGGATATTGAACGGAGAAAACTAGCATGTAGGAATGATACAAAGAGCAAAATTTTTCTACTAGAACAATTAGTGCCAGTGTATATGTTGAATTGTTCAGTTTAATATGCGTACACTGAAATTTTAACTCAATTTTGTGCAGTATTAATGATAGAAAATGAGTAATAGATTTAGACTTTTTGACAAGAGTACTCTAGATTTCTACATATCCTTTGCTTGATATATATTTGCTCTACTTGGCAATGAGATGGCATAACTTGAATTTAGCAATTTATCCCGTATATGGAAAAATCATGCAAGTTCTTGATAAATATGCCTTGAGAAAAAATAACTTTTTTTTTTTATAAAATAGGCTGGTGGATGGAACTTGGGGGCAGCGAGCAGAATGAGAGAGGAGGCAACAAACGAAAAAGTCAACCTTTTCTTATTTTAAAAGTTTTTTAAATTCCTTTTTTTTACTTTTCCGTTAGCCAAGGGCATTTTTGAGCCTATTGAGTAACGGTGGGGGTAGTTTTGCACCCAAATTCATACGGAGGGTATATTTGCTCTATTTGTAATAGTTTGAGGGTATTTTTGATCCTTTTCCCTAAATAAAATGAGATAATAATTAGTTCTTAACTTTTATGTCTTAGGTATGCCATGTGTGAAGCTTAAAAGAAAAAAAAAGTAGCGTAACACATGTCGAAACTCTCTGTCTATTTTGCCGACGATAAATATCCGCGTCTTTCACACATTAATTAAGTCGATTAAGCTATGATTCAATATTTATTTTCAAATAATATTTGAATTGATTAATAACTCGTTAAAATATTAACTCAGCTCATATTAACCCACTTCAATCTGTTTATTTGACATTCTTATTTACTACTTATTCTTTTCTATTATAGCAATAATAACCACATTTAAAAAATGAAAAAAAAAAACTCATGAGAATAAAAACAAAAGCCTTTGTATTCTTCCATTCCTATCATTTTGGTTGGAGCTTCTTTATCAAACAGCATAGCCATATGAGAGAATAGGCAAAATAATCCCTCTCTTCATTGATTTATTTTGTCGGTGCCGTGAATATTCCTTATTTTCATATGACATGATTAAACTTTCGAGATTCAGATTTCAAAATTTGATAATAAATTTAAAGTATATTATATGAATGTGTCCTTTAAATTGATATTATCTAACATTTATGTTTTGTAACTTTGAATGTGCATAAATAAACACTTAAAGTTTGTATATAACTAAACAAATAGACATATGTGTCCTAAATAGCATTCTATGTTGCAATTCACATTCTACATGTAATACGTCACGTATGAGTCGGTGTCATGTTCTGGATCGAATTTTCTAATCAATCGCCAGGGTCAAGCAGGTTGGGTCCCAATTTGAATGACGGATCCCTAATTGAGAGTTGGGTCTCAAATTGGTCGTTGGGATTGTGTCCCAACTCGAATGTCGGGTCGAGTCGTAAATCGATTATCGAGGTTGGTTTTTGAGTTAGAAACTATTTTCCTAAAGAAAAAATTCTACTCTCTAGCCAAAAAGTAAAATATATTTTCTGGAAAATATTTTTCATTCACCAACTAAACGCTAGAAAATATTTTTCATTACCAACCACACATGAGAAAATGAGTTAAAAATTAACTTGTTTTCCAAGAAAATATTTTCCTGAAAACATTTTCATTCATACCAAACACACCCGAAAAAAAGTAGTCAAGCACATGACGACATGTATTACCAATGGTAAACACCCGCGTATTTCACACAATAATTAAGTTGATTGAGCTATAATTTATTATTTTTTCACAAATACTATTTAAACAAGTTAATATTTCGTAAAATATTACCTTAGTTCATATTAGCCCGCTTCAATCTGTTCGACATTCTTATTTACCATTATTCTTTTCTTTTATAGCAATAATAACAGCATTAACAAAATGAAAAAAATTAAACAAATAATAAAAAATAAAAACTCATGAGAAGAAAAACCAAAAGCCTTAGTATTATCGTACTCATAATAGTCATTTTGGTTGAAGCATCTTTATCAAACAGCATAGCCATACAAAGTGTTCAGTGAGAGATTAGGCAAAATAATCCCTCTCTTCATCGAGATTCAAATTCTTAATTTTGATAATAAATTTAAAGCATAATATATAAATATGTCTTTTAAATTAGTATAATCTGATATCTACATTCTTTAATTTTGAATGTGCAAAAATAAACATTTAAGTTTATATAAAACTGAACAAGTAAACATATGTGTTCTAAATAGCATCCTATATGGCAATTCACATTCAACATTAACATGCCATGTATGAGTCAGTGTCATGTCTTGGATCAGATTCCTAATCAGTCGTTAGGGTCAGGGTTAGTCCTAGTTTGAATGAAAGATATTCCGAATTGAGGGTCGGGTCTCAAATTGGTTGTTGGGGTCGTCTCCCTATTTGGGTGTCGGTTCGAGTCCTGAATCGATTATCGAAGTTGGTTTTTGAGTCAGAAACTATTTTCCTAAAGAAATATTTTTCATTCACCAACTAAACGCTAGAAAATATTTTTCATTTACCAACCAAGTATGAGAAAATAAATTAAAAACCAACTTGTTTTCCAATAAAATATTTTCCTAAAAACATTTTTTTTCATACCAAACACATCCTGAAAAAAAGTAGTCAAGCACATAGCGACACTCTCCATTTGCAATGCCAACAATAAACACCCGCGTCTTTCGCACAATAATTAAGTTGATTGAGCTATAATTTGTTATTTTTTCACAAATACTATTTAAACAGGTTAATATTTCGTTAAAATATGAACTTACTTCATATTAACCCACTTCAATCTGTCCGACATTCTTATTTACTATTATTCTTTTCTTTTATAGCAATAATAACAACATTAACAAATATAAATAAATAAATAAATAATAAAGAAAACTCATGAGAAGACAAAACAAAAGCCTTAGTATTATCGTACTCCTAATTGTCATTTTGGTTGGAGCATCTTATCAAACAGGCAACAGCATAGCCATACAAAGTGTTTAGGGAGAGATTAGTATAATATATAAATATGTCTTTTAAATTAGAATTGTTTGACATCTAAATTCTTTAATTTTGAATTTGCATACATAAATATTTAAATTTGAATAAAACTGAACAAATACATATATGCGTCCTAAATAACATTCTATATGACCATTAACAGTTTTTTTAAGAGTAAAAGATATTAAGAAAAGGAGAGCGTCGAGGAAACAAATTTATTTTGCTTAAAGTACTACTCAAACTAATCTTTCAATATGTTTCAATAATGATTGCTAAAGGAATATTGTTAATACTCCCTTTGTCCCAGTTTATGTTGCACAATTTAAATTTTGAGAGTCAAACAAGTATGAAGTAATCAATTTCTTTTATATACTTTTTAAATATTTAAGTTGTTAATTATTGTGATTTATAGTATTTTTATGTAAATTTTATATTAAAGAACTTAAAAATTCTATATCCAAATTAACAATCAAAATATAGAAATTTAAATCTTTAAATTTCAACTATACCACATAAATTGAAACAAACTAAAAAAATAAAATACTACTAATAACTTAATTATCTTAAATAATGACTAATGAGGTAATAAGTACTTAACTTTTATGTCTTAGCTAGGTATGCCATGTATGAAGCTCTCTTTTATAAAATATGAAAAGAAAAAAAAAAGTAGTGTAACACATGCCAACACTCTCCATCTGCATTGCGAACGGTAAACACTCATATTTTTCACACAATAATTTAGTTGATTGAGCTATAATGTATTATTTTTTTCTTCATAAGTACTATTTAAACAAGTTAATATTTCGTTAAAATATTAACTTAGTTCATATTAACCCACCTGAATCTGTCCATTTGACATTCTTATTTACTATTATTCTTTTTCTTTTATAGCAATTAATAACAACATTAACAAAATGACATAGGAATTCATGAGAAGAAAAAACAAAAGCCATTGTATTATCGTACTCCTAATTGTCATTTTGGTTGGGCCATCTTATCAAACACATAGCCATACAAATTGTTTAGTCAGAGATTAGGCAAAATTATCCATTTCCTCATTGAATTTCGATACTAAATTTAAAGCATAATACTTCCTCTGTCTCAATTTATGTGACTTACTTTCCTTTTTACTTAGTCAAAAAAAAAATGACACGTTTCTATATTAAGTAACAATTTAACTATAAAATGTCTATTTTACCCTATAACCACACAAATTTCTATCATTCATTTTAAACCACAAATTTTAAAAGTCTTCCGTTCCTACATTCTCTAATTTTGAATGTGCATAAATAAACACTTAAGTTTATATAAAATTGTGCAAGTAAACATATTCATCCTTAATGACGTTCTATTTCATAACTCACATCGTATGTATAATGTCATATATGACGCACGTGTCTAACTTTTAAAAAAATAAATAAATTTTACTCCATGTATTTAGAAAACTAGTGTTCTATAAATACTTTACGTTCTTCTCGGGATCCCTCACAATTATTACTTCTCAGTTACAAATCTTTGACTCTTTTTCTTCAACCAGAAAAGGAAAAAAAAATATTGTTTTCTCTTTTCAGTCCAAACCAGATCTGTTATCGCTCTAAAAAGGTATGTTTCAAGCTTTCAAATTTTCTATTTCAACTCATAATTATGGTCCAAGATTCGATTTTGTTTACAGAAATGCGATTTTTTTTTTCAAGATTCAAATAAGTTGTTTTTCAGGGATTTGTAATTTTGTTGATTTTGTGATTTGCAGAGACTGTAATGTCGTCTGTGGTGAAAGATTTGCATTCAAATGTAGAGAAATCTGAGACCCCTTTGAGGCCATTCAAGATTTTCGTAGGCTATGATCCACGAGAAGATGTTGCGTATGAGGTTTGTCGTTATTCCCTTCTGAAAAGATCATCAATCCCACTTGAGATAACACCCATTAAGCAATGTGAGTTGAGGGAGCAGGGTCTGTATTGGCGTGAAAGAGGGAAATTGGAAAGTACTGAGTTTTCATTTTCGCGATTTTTGACGCCTTATTTGGCAGATTATGAGGGTTGGGCTATGTTTGTTGATTGTGATTTCTTGTACTTAGGGGATATTAAAGAATTGAGGGATATGGTTGATGATAAATATGCTTTAATGTGTGTACAACATGATTATACTCCAAAAGAGACTACGAAAATGGACGGTGCAGTGCAAACGGTTTATCCTAGGAAGAATTGGTCGTCCATGGTTCTTTATAACTGTGGACATCCAAAGAACCGGGGGCTAACACCTGAGGTGGTGAATTCTGAGTCCGGGGCATTTCTTCATCGCTTCATGTGGTTGGAGGATGAGGAGATTGGGGAGGTTCCATTTGTGTGGAACTTTCTTGTGGGGCATAATAAGGTTGTTGAAGGTGATCCAGCTACATTTCCTAAGGCGATTCACTATACACTTGGTGGACCCTGGTTTGAGGCGTGGAAAGATTGTGAATTTGGTGAATTGTGGTTGAAGGAATTGGAAGAGTCCAAGAAGGCAAAGGAGAAGGTGGTTTAAGCCAATGTAGACAACATTGTTTAAATCGCAGGGTGTATGTTAAGGTAATCAGCTGGTGGTTGTTGTTGTAAGTGTGTTCAGTAATTAGAAGGTTATGCCATTAATTTAATCTTCCACATTATTTATTTTGTATTTTCTCACTTCGAGATTCTTTGTAATTCAAGCCAATATTTATTCTGTGTTGCTATATCTGATAAGCAGACTTTTAAGTCATATAGAGTTGTATTATAATTGTAATAGATGTCTGTTAGTATAGAAGGTAGTAGATTGTGTGATGATCTACAAATTTATTATTGATATCTGCTCTGGATTTGTAATTTGGTTTCATTAATGAGAAACGATGGAGGTTTGGTTGCTTCTGTAATTTGGTTTTAGGAAATGCCCCTTCTCCCCTCTCTTCCTGCAAGATGTTTTTTTTGAGAATTAATTCTGTATTGAGCATTGGTGTGTTTTCAAGAAGCTTCTTGAGCTTATCATAAGGTGTTGAGCAAAAAGTAACTTTTCTTAGTTTGAGTTATCTATCACTTTGACGGTATCATTGTCATCTTTTTATGCTTTGGGATTTCTTATGGGGAGGATGGTGTTGAGTAGGAAGGTGCGCGTTACAATAACTTTTTCTTTTATGTTGCTCAAGAAAGCACTTTGAAGTAGTGGGTTGTTCGTATAATTGCTCATTTATGCTTGTGCTGCCTCAACTTACAATAGTGAGACTGATCATGTCTGTGCTTTAGCCTAACAGCTAAATTAGAAGCCGTTGCCTTCATGTCCATCTGCCCTTGTGGTTATTCTTCTCAGACAATTTGCTTGTCCTTCTAATTCTTTTTGCTTGGTAGAAATGATGCTATCTCTTATCTTTTATTCTCTTAAACAATGGGGTATCATTGTCACTTAAATCTGCACTGATTGAGATGTTATTTGCCAACACTCATTACTTCCTTTTTAATCTATACTTCCCCTTTGTCTATGGTTAAACTGATTTTTTTGTGGCACTCTGTCCCTTTGTTCTTTTTTATGGTCACTAGCTTCTGCTATTTTGGGATAGTTTTTTCCAGGTAATAAATGTAAAACAATAGTCTATTCAAAGAGAAAATAAGTGTTTCTATGCATATCACTTCTTAATGTGTAAGCATACATTGATCTAATCTAACATCTTTCTAAAGATATGCTTGTACTAGACATCATAGCTTATATTTACCTTCCGTTTCCCGGAAGACGTATTTGGATTTGCGGAGTGACTGACCTTTGTTTCAAACTTACTTTTCTGCTGGCAGTGGTATTTCTCTGTGAAAGTTGATTAACACTGCTGATTGCATAAGCATCAGATGCTGTAGAGGATTGTTGGCCACTGGCCAGTCTTCTCCTCAGAATTCTACCTCTCAATGTGGTAAATCTACCTTTCCTAGATTTTGAACTTCCTAATTCTAACATATCTATCATTATTCTACAGTGCACTTACTTATTTTCATAGTTTAAGGGTTTATTTAGGTATCCTACCCTTAGATTGTTTGATTAAGCATTACATTGGATGTGAGGAATTTTACATTTGTGCAGATAACATTTATAACTTCTGATTATTAGTATTAGTTTGATCAGCATAAGTCAGTGGTTTAGTGTGTATAGATAAATCTATGTTGCTCTTACTCTTCAAAATCTTTGCCGCACCCATGTTGATACGACATGGATGTGGCACACCAGATTTGGTCAACTTACCTTGGGTGTTTTTTGACTCATTTATTACCAAATGTGTAGATTGATTGGGTATTTTGTTTGATTTTTGGGTTTATGTCATGTAGTCATATAAAGTATGAGAATGTTTGGTTGTTACTAGATATTTTATGAATAAAATATTAGGTATTATTAAGAATTAACTTCTATTAGTTCTAGTTCGATAGGTTTAATTAATCAAGATATACACTTTATATGATATTATGCATTTATTGGCTTCTTATCTCAACACCCGCATCTGCACTCAGATCCATACCCTGAATCCTAAAATTTATATGATGGAGAAGCCAACCTTTAGATCCACACTCGAGTCCGAGCAATTCAGCATAAACTTCTCGTTTACTTTGGAACACTACAGATAAGCTGGCTTGACCGAACCTGTTTGTGCCTTTGAAGCTCATTGAGTATCACATACTGCAGCTTTATTTAACTCAACATTTATGCTGGCGCCATATGGGTATGAAGCATACTTTTTCCACCTGTGGACTCATCGTCGGTCCCTTATTATTTTTGGATTGGGATTGATAATGTTTTTACAACCTGATATGTCCCATATTTCCTAATTCAGGAGTCAATTTATCATAATTCTTGAGTTCATTTGCTTCTTTTTTAAGGCTGAAGAGTATGATCTCTTATGTTATTACTGGTTGCACTAACTTGCTTCTGTTTCAAACCTAAACAATAATCACAATTCCAACTACGAACTTGTTAGCTTGTAACGAAAACTTGTATCAGTTTCAAACTCCTCATAAGCAGTAACATGTCAACAATCCTGAAAATGATATCACTACGATGATTGTGGTGCTTATTAATGAGGCATTAGTAGTACTGTAACTTCATGAGCCTGATAGGGAGGGAAACAATATTTTTAGAATGAAGTTAGGCTAACTTTTTGTGTTTTTTCAGGTAACTGCAACAGAAAAGAGAGGAATCCTTTAATATGCTCAAATTATTGAGGTTTCAATGTGAAAATCGAGTTCAGAAGATCACGTAATGTACAACAATAATGTAAGGTAGCTCATGATGAAGTCTACATGTGTATGATTGAACTTGGCAGTACCCTCATTGTAGTAATCCAGCTACACTACTTTTTTTTGCTGATGAGATCATCTGTCTGTTGAATGAGCAATTTTTGTAAAATCATTGAGCGATTGTACAGTCTACCCTCCCCATACCTCACTCGTGGGATTACACTAGATATGTTGTAGTTGTTCATTGAACAATTGTTACTTGTGATCCCATTGGGCCTCGTGGATTTCTCGGTTATATAAAAAGTTGCAGTCTTGTTGAAATGATGATTAGTAGGAGTACCTGTTATTTTAACATGATTTCAGGTTTAAAAAAAAACCTGTAGTCTTTCCTCACATCTCTGTCATTTGAGATAACTTTGATAGATCCTTCTAGGTTTTGTGGAAACAACTAATGCCACACGTTTCATGTTTCTCTACCCTACGACAGGGACTTAATACCAATCTTTCCTATCATACTGCTGTTACTAATTTTTACTTCCTTTATTCTCCGAAGATGGCGGAGCTAGAAATTTATATAAGGGGATTCAACAAATATTGAGTGTAAATCATTATGTCTTTTTGGTAATGTATGAGTAAGTTGATACTCTAACAATGTCTACTGAAAAAATGAGAAAGATATGTACATTGGTCAATTATGAGAAGACAAGTAGTATAATACTGAAAATGACCAAATCCAAATTTCTAATTAATGCCTGATATATTATAATTGAGACAAATCATGTGTCTTACTCTACAGAAACTTTTGAGTTGTCTTTATAAACCATATACTGAAAGTGTTCTCTTTTTTTTTCTTAAAAATCTTGTCAAGCTATAAAGCAAAAGCTCTCTCTCTCTTTAGTTGAATATTAGAGAAGTAGTAGAAAAATGGATGCACCACAATATCAAGAGATGTCTTATCTTGAACATGTCAAACGTCGACGCGAGGAAAAAGGATGCCTTTACGCTTGGTTTGTACTTTTTCACATCTATGGATTTTTTTGCATTTACGAGTTTTAGATATCAACTGACATCTGTGCCCTTCAATTTTGAGTGTGTATATACTTAAACATGTATAAAGTTGAACAAGTAGATGCACATATTCTACGTGACACACAATACATGTAAGACGCCACGTAGGATGTTGTGTAGGACGTGAATTGCTACAAAGGATGCTAAATAGGATGCGTGTATCTACTTGTTCAACTCTATACAAGTTTAAGTGCCTACTTGTGATTTGTAAACTTGGAAGGCATATATGCCAAAAGCTAAGTGAGATGACATGTTTATGTAATATGCTAGTTTTGTTACCTATCTTTTTTACTTTGGCTAGGCCTCTAAAGACATCTTTTGACCTTATTTTGATCACTAAAGGCATCTTCTGACCTTATTCTGCTTTGATCCCCCAATATTGCAGGGGGTGGGGAGGGATGCTCTTTTTTGTTTGTTTTAGTTTTGGATATGTTGTTTATTCACCAGACTAAAAAAGGGAAAGATTGATGGTAATCTTTTCTAGAAGTAAAAACTGAATAATCAACATGTTTATGGGGTTTAAAACTTGGAAGCATAAGGAACTGGAATTGATTGACCAAAGTAAGCCATTATTAAAATCAATTCATCAACATATTACGTTTTTTTGAAATTAGTATAAACGTAGTTCTCAGTAGCATTTTAGGTTGTATTTTATTCAAAAAAATTAAATAACAAAAAGACAAAAATCTGACAGAATAAACAAACATAAAACATTATTGTCAGTAACGTTTTATAATTTGTTACTCTGAAGCACGTTTTATTGCTAAAACGTGACTCACAGTAACGTTTCTCTGGAATGGCTGAATATTGAAATTCAATCTTGTACATGCCTCATTCATTATTCAAATTTCTACTATTAAAATGGATAGATATATTTTGGCTAATTAAGAACAAATCAGAAATTTGCTGCTGGATCTCCACGTCTCGTTTACAGTTGTTTCGCTTTAGCATCTGCAGTAGCTACTATTTTGCATTTCGTACTCTGTAATTAAGCAGTTTCCTTTGTTCGATGGTCTCTGCATGGTCATCTTCCTTCTAAGGTTGAACCTTGCAATGATGTTCTAATGGATGTAAATTTTCAGATTGTATGTACTTATATTGAAAGTTTTTTACCAATTTTTATCAAGTGAAAATGTTTCGGAAGGTGGAGAATTTTCCTCAAATGCTTGTCTTGGTTTACTTAAACCTTCCTAGACACCACTCATGGATTACATCCGGTATGAAGTAAATATATATATATATATATATATATATATATTCGATTTAATAGTGGAAATTTGAATAATGAATGAGACATGTACAAGATTGAATTTCAATTTTCAGTCATTCTACAAAAACGTTACTGTGAGTCACGTTTTAGCTGTAAAACGTGCCTCAGAGTAACGAATTATAAAACGTCACTGACAATAACGTTTTATGTCTGTTTACTCTGTCAGATTTTTGTCTTTTTGTTATTGATTTTTTTTGGATAAAATATAACCTAAAACATTACTGAGAACTACGAATATACTAGTTTTGTAAAATTTAAAAAAAAAACATATTATTTTGGTGAATTGATTTTAATAATGACTTACTTTGGTAAGAAACTGACAAATTTGTGTAGAAGCTTAAAATTTTCATCACTGACGTACTTAGATGAGCTTGAATAGAGCGATATAACTAACTCTAACTTAGGGATCAAGATTTGAGGCGTAGCGTTTTTCTTCTAATTTTATTTGGCCTTAATACAATATGGATAGTAAGACAGATTTACTTGAGTGAATGAATGCAGTGTGTTCACAATGTGTTGCTGCTTCTGTTACTACGAGACCTGTGAGTGCTGTCTGGACATGCTCTGCTGCTGTACTTGATGTCCCTCCTAGCCATGCCAACCCTGTGTTACTATGTTAGCAACATAAGCTAAAAATGGAATTTGTTTCCTTGTTCTCACACTAAGTTTCTTCCACGTCTCTTTTGTTACCTTCCACTGTATGTTTAAAAACTGTGAAGTTGAATAAACTTGTGCTTTTAAGTCATTTTCTATTGAATTTTTTTTTTTTCTTTCAACGTAGAACATTTTATGTTATCTGTTTGTTTGGTGTGAGTACAAAAATTCTCCATTTTGATGAAACATGAACTCTGTCATACCAAACACACTAGAGTTGTTAAACTAGATAAATGGTTAGCGCAAAGAAGTTATAAATACAGTTCCCTTTTGGACTACTAGAGTTAGGTCTTTGGCATATTTGCATCAAATATAAGTCATTACCAGAGAAGGTTTATGGTCAAAAGATAGGCCCAATAAACACCAAGTCAAAAGAAAGTAACTCGAACAACAACAAAATAATAGACATTTTTACCTTCACGTATGGCTTGATGTACAGTATTAAACTTGAAATACAACTGAAGACACACTCAGGTGGAAAGAACGCTTGTGAGGGTTTAATTTTTGCACAAAATCAATCGAGGATCTAAATTAAACAATGAAACTCGAGCAAAATTTTGTTCAAACATTTTACCTTCACATGTGGCTTAATTTACAGTAGTACATTTGAATGTACAATTGAAGACATTCTCAGGAGGAAATGATGCTTGCGAAGATTATTATGATCTTTGCTTAATAATCTATCAAGGATCAAAAGTAACTCCATTACTGCAGATTTACCTTAGCAACCGAGGATGGGATTTCTCCCTTCATCAATATCAATGAGAAGAACATGCTCCGGATCTGAGCCAGAAGGTCCTTCTGAGTACAGTGTGGGAAGATAAGCCTTGTATGCTGGCAAGTAGCGGGATACAAAGTCCTTCACCTGTGAAAAGTGGAACAAAATAAAAAATTGGAAAACGTTCCTCTAAAGCATTAACTGATGGTTTTCATTTCTTTTTTGAGAAAGAATACACATAAAGTTTTACCTCCTCATCAGTCATCCCAGCCTTCCCGTCAGCCCTCATTGCAATCTCCGCCTAAGAACATCCCACTAGACTATTTAAACAAATCGCACAAGAATAAATATGGAGCAAAATGCAGATGATATCACATAATGAACCTGCAAACGCCATTGGTAGACATAACTAGGGTCTTGAATCTTGATGACAATCCATGACTTGACAAACTTATGCCATGCATCATAATAAGTTTCTAAGTTCTTGTTGACCGTCTCTAGCTGCAATTTCTAAAGTTTCAATGATCCAAGAAGATAGATCAAAATAAAAGGCACAAGCATCCAGAGAGAGTCTAGTATTTGAACCTGTGGATTAACAGCTTTGACAACTTCAGGTGGAAGGGGTTTGAAACCAAGCATCCAACCTTCAAACAGAATTACCTAATATCCAAAGTACTGACAATGACGTGAGGCAATCTTACCATTTCGCTTGAGTTGGATCTATGAGAAAAGTTGTGTTTTTACAGAAGGGAACATGATGCTGACATTCTCACATTTTATATCATTTTAGAATTTTAACTTTTACTTTGTGGAAATGATGGAATTGGGGTCACTCTTTGAATCATTAAACATTAGATGAACAGAAAACCACTAATTGCCTGCTCTAAATAAAAACAACTTCCTACCGGTAGAGGCCCTTCAACCTCTGGCCATTCGGAGGGATCAGCTCTGTCACCTCTACCACTGTAAGCAGACTGGAAATAGAGTTTCAGAATAAGTAACACATAATATTAATAACCCACTGAGACTTAAATGTTTACTAGTCTTTCTTACTTACTTTATCATATCTAGGAAGCTTCATCTTCACACCTGGATGGAGTTGAATATTAGTTAAGCATATAGATGCAGTGCCTAATTGAAAAGTAGCACAAGCTAAAAAGGTGCATTCACCTTCTTTCGTCAATTTACTTAGTGCTGTCAGTGTCTCAACAGACAATGGAAGATCATGGCTTCCAGCATTTCCACGAAACTGAAGTGAAGATGAAAATTTTTATTTTATTTTTTTGAGAAAAGAAGAAGTGAAATTCGTCATTTTCTACCTCCAAAAGCAAGTTCCCTGGGTTGCTGTCTCTTAATTTCGCCTAAAACCACATAATGTGTCAGCATTGGTGATAATACACAGACGGAAACTAGCAAGCAGCAAACTCATGAAACATTTACCTGTTCTTCTGCTGTTAAGTAAAAATCATCAATGGATATTGTAGCAGCTCTCCTGATGTTATGTGTGAGCATAATGTTTGGTTATTTCTGTCCCACAGAGGAAGCAAAAACTCATGAAAGCAACTTACCTCCCAGTGATTTTAAAAAGATATTCTAATGCGAATACTAGCGTTGTCTTTCCACATCCTTGAGGCGCACTGAAGCCAATCTACATGCCAAGAATATATCTTATCTTAGGTGTGTTTATGTCTAGCTTTTCTAATCAGACCAGCATGATATTGACCTTAATGGAAATCAAACACACAAGAACCAAGAGAATAATAAAAATGTGTCTACCACCAATGGAGGGATTTCTTCTTCTTCTTTGAACTTGGAACTATGCTGTGAAATTTCCTGTTCACACCACAAGAAGACTGGAATATAGTAGTGGTAGATTCGAATTTTTTGGGCCTCGTTGAGAGACAACTGGTTGAGCTGAAACAATCTACAAAGCCGTAACCCATACTCTATCCACTTGTCAATGGACTCAGCCACCTTTTCCGACGTCAGACCTATCTTACTGATGAGGGGGCCTGAGCATATGAATTCATAAAGATCGTCCACAGAAGAAACTTGTGCTATTTCTTTTGAAGACACAGCGTTCAATGGACCTTGCTTCCTTCCATTAGGGGAAAAATTATCACAAGAAGCAGATTTATCTTGCATCCATGAATATCCACTGCCTGCACAACCATGATCAGCCATGAATGCAAAAGGGTGAAAGAACATGACAGGGCAGCATTTTCACGGAAGTAACACTAATGGTCATCAACTGACACAATAAATAAACCATATAGATTACAAGAAGTAAAAAAGAAAGATCCACGGCATACAGTTAGCTATTCATCTTTTTCACTATGTAGCAAAACTTGCATCTAGGCTTACACCTTGTGTTTGTCTTTCATCTCATAAAGTAAAAATTGAATTTCCAAAACCTATCACAAATTTTGTATATGGATTTGAAATTTGAAGAATAACCTTCGTTCAAAGTTGATTCCTTTCATTTCAGAAGAAAAAAGGGAAACAAGAATAACCTTCAGAGTTTTATTTAATACTTTGTTTGGTAGGATTTCCAGCCTTTGTATAACTAATACACACTCAATTTCAGTAATATAGAGTTATAACTAATACATAGCAAACCATGTTATATTAGTAATACAAAGGCTATTAATATATAAATAAGCATGGTTAAAGACAAAGCGGTCGTTAAAACAACATTCCAAACAGTGGATAAGAAATAATCTCCGCATTACTAATACACCCTATTTTGGGGAATCTTAGTAGCTCAGTTGGTTGACTATCTAAACTTTCACTTTATTGGTGAGGGTTCAATGTTACTCGATTGCAGAAATTCACAATGAACTCGAGGATCGAAGCACTGTTTCAGGAGTTTCTCAAGAAAACAGTTAGTAAGGAAGAAGAAGAATTGAGCGAGAGAGAGAAATTTGTATATTTCATATCCTGATTGTAAAATGATTTGATTACAAGCTATATAGTAATTGAACTCTTAGCTAACTTTCACTGTAGCTAACTAACCAATGGACCTGTAACTAATCATGTATCATTCAATTCTCCCATCCTGCAATCCCCTCCCCCATTTCCCCTTCCCCTACCCACGATCTTTTAGGAAAAGAAAAAAGAACATATTCAGTACTATTCTTATACACTCTATCAAACGGACCAAAGCTAGTCTTAATCTGTTCAACCAAGTTATTGTCACCTTATCTTAACAGGAATATTTCCAGTCCTATGAAAAAACCCCATTTTAGCAACTGCAAGATCGATCAACTAATATAAGCAGGTACAAAGCATTTATGTGCAAGAACAGCTAATTATCTGCCAATTACAAGAATCTCGCCAAATAAGTTCACACCCACTTCGAACAAGGAAAAATTATAGTAGGAACCAAATTACAATAATTGAAAATTGAATTGAAGCAAAACAAAAGTAGAGCTGGAATTCAAAACCTGATGAATTGGAGAGGTGAGGCAACATTTGAGAGGATAAAGTTGGACGCTTTGCTCTTGGGTTTCCAGAAAGGGGAGAATTTGTCGACCCGATTTTCCAGCATTTGAAATCGCCGCAATTGTAAATATTATTAAAATCATAAAAATGTGGAAATCGTAAAGAATATGATAATGATGATGATGTGGAGGAAGCTGGCAGCTGCCATGGCGACGGAGTCTGAGATAATATATTCAATCCCGCCATTGTCGGCTCTCTCTCTCTCTCTCTCTTTCACATACACACAGTGAGTAAGAGAAGTTCTCAGCAAGTGTGTGTGTGTTGCAGCTTTTTGTGGATACGACAGTTACAAAACGATCGGTTAAGATTTGGCCAAAAGGAATCTGACCTGAAAGCAAAGCTGGATTTTATTTATGGGGACAAAAGAATGAGGAAAACAATAACTAACATAGGGACATACATTTAAGATCACAAAATTCAAATAATATTTTTTATAGGCTTTAGTACAGGGACAAAATCTTTAGTGTGAATCCAGATTAAAAAAAAAAAAATTATAAATATTTAATATTTATTTAAGATCACAAGATTCCAAAGAAACTCTATTTGATATTCCTAATAGTAATAGTGTTACTTAAATATAATCGAGGGATTGCTGCCTTCTTCAACCCCACCCCTTAATAGAGAAAAAACAAAATTTGAAGTACATGGATCATAACATAAAGTTGATTTCACTTTTTACTGATATAAATCATACATAGTTCTTGAGTCGAGGGTTTACGAGATATAATCTCTTTACCTCACAAACGTAGGATAGAATTTGTGTACACTTAACCTTTCAAGATGTCACTTGTGAGACCATATTGGGTATGTTATACTAGAAATCATACATAGTAGTTTTTTAAAAGATTGTAGGAAGAAAAACATTTGACTCCCTGAAATAGTGCCATATATTATGGGAAACAATTATTTTATAAGCAAATGATATAGAAGATTAAGACAAATCATTCTAAATTACAAAAGCTGGCAAAGGTAACAGAGTTGAAAAAAATAGCATGTACAAAATTACCTGCATGATTTTCTTGAATTACAACTGAGAAAGTTGCTCATTTTTTACTGCTAAACTTGCTAAGTTTAAGTATATTCCTAGTATGTCAAATCCTTTACAGCAGAAGAGTGAACAAAAGGAACACTCAATATAATGTGAATTTGAATCAGTTACTCTCATAAAAAAAGCCTAGGGAGGAGCCAAGTTGCAAAAAAGCCCCTTTATAGAATATGTCATCTGCTTCAGCATTGCTGCTCCATTTGGTTAGTCTTATATCTTCAAATTTCATGTCTGAAACAGTGTCTCAAGTAGCTTTGGCGAAGACAAACACGCGACTGACTTGAACTGTTGGCACAGGAAAAAGAGACACTTATTAGGGAGCTACACATAATGACAACTCAAATGTGCTACTTTTGAATAATAACATACAAGTACCTCATCTTGTCGGTATTTAGCACGTATGACGTTTAGAAGGCAGTTATTTGTATTCAACTGTAGACCTTGTAGTGCAAGAACTGTGGTTTTCAGATCTTGAGCCTTGTAATAGGTATAGTGCTCCAGTGTTGGACTCTGTCAAAGTTGCAGGCATAAGTTCTACACACCAGAGGCACGCAAAAGCTAACGAATTAAAGTAAAAGAAAACCAGTATATTCAAGAAGCAAACCCATGGGTGGCTTGACTGATCTAGTGTCCATCTTGCAAGGAATACAGATGATGCAGCAATAGAAGATGGGGTGAATTTCAAGAAGCCATATTCAAGCAATGTCAGTTCGGTGAGATAATTAGCCAAGAACTCTAGCTCCAGATTGGGATTCTGAAATTATGTATCATTAAGCAATACGATTATACTTCAGTACAGAGAAAAGTTCTGTTATCATTCAAGTGATGCACATTAATTCATTACCTTGTAAGAAGCTTGTGCTGCTCTTACAAATCTCCTACAAATAACATCATACATATGAAGATGAAAAATTTCAGTTTTCACATAGACAAAAGAAAAAGAAACATTATGCTGTTATACACGTGTAAAAATAAACCATGGCTGAAACAAAAGTACCTGAGAAAGGTCTTTGCAGTTGGAGTTGAGAGTCGGAAACCTAGAAAGTTCAGAACAAGAATCTCCATTGCCAGGACCTGCTCCACACTTTAGTATATCAGAACCTTCAGTTTGTCCAACTAGTATATAATAATATCTGAAAACCATTTTTTTTCTGGGAGTTCTGTAAAATGATAGAGAAGGAAAGGGGAAGGGGGAGGTGTCGACGTCTTCTTTAGTAACCAAGAGGTTTCATGCAGATATAGTATTTCCTCTGAACTGTACCCATAAAATCATTGTTGACAGTATGCTGCATAGAGTTGCATTTCTTGTAGGAGTTCGACGAGATTCTCTCACTAATAAATATTAATGAAACAGAAGACACAGATCTACTTCCAATATTTGCAAGCTTGAAATAAGCATAGAGATTCATGTAGACCTACAAGTTCTAGAACTTAAGATAAACCTCAAAAGCTTGAAGGGGAATAGACCCCCTGATAATTATACTAAATGATATACATTACACAATAACACATATAGAGAACGTAAACTGCATGTGAAGTTTAGAGAGGAGAGATATATGAATGATCAAGTTCATCAATTAGGTTCTCCATGGGAAGTACAGAACAGAACCCAAAGACATCATCTTAAACTAGCTAATAGCATACTATGCTGGAACTATGCTTGTCCTTCCTACCCTTTCTCGTCACGTAATGCAGAAATTCAAGATCCTGATAGTGAGAACTTGAAAGAGCAGTATTCTACCTCATTTTTCGTGTAAGCATTATCACTGATGAAACAGAACTCCTCAACACGTGGACCACACATCTCTTCATATTTCCTTCAAAATTGAAAGAAAAATCCACGTTCAGCCAGATAAAATGTAATTCTTTATTCAGGGATAAAAGGGAAGATTTTTTAATACAAAGTGCAAAGTGATGGCAAAAATGCTTGATGTCCTCTTTTTTTACAGGTGAAGGCACACTGCAGTCTGCAAATGTGGCTACATAGGAGCATTTCTTCATAAACACACATATATATGGAATGATGAGATTTGTTTTGTCAGATTCTAAAATGAGTGGAGTCCTTAGTCTTGGCCCTATATGCACTTTGTAGCTAAGACGCTTCCAACTATTAGGCATGGCCAACCGATCCAAAGATTCTGAAGTAGACTTCTGTTTAATTTAGAAAGAAAGGATCCTGTATTTCTTCGACTTGAGTTTCTTTCTCTTTTAAGCATTTCAAGAAAATGTTTCCCCAAAAAGCAATATTTCAAAGAACCTATAGTAGTAAAAACAGTTGTGTCGAGCTTACGAGGCAACTAGCATGCAAGTGATTCCAAGGAGCTGCAGGTTTTTCCTTTCCACATAGTTTTGAGAGAGAAATAGATCGATAAAGTGAACAGCAAGGTAGAGTGTATCTGGCACCAACTTATATTCCTCTGACACCTGACACAAGATTAGACAATGACCTTAGCAACCAGCATTCTTATAAAGCATTTCTAAAATCAGCAGGCAACTAACAACCATTCTGAGCTGAAAAGGTAAAGGAAGGGCCAGAGAGGCGGGACGAATCCATCATCAAGTTGAAATTATACGGACTTAACTAGCACCAAATTCACAAGAATCTTACGAATGATTTATATTTTATCATAAGCAAAAAATCACATACGATCTTTACAAGCCTTATTCTAAACTGATCTAAGATGAATCAGCACCAGATGATGAAAACCCAAAATGAAAATGTAAGTTGCTTGTCCAAGTTAATACTGTTAGGAAATTGATCTGTTTCACATTTATTTGTTCAAGATGAATCAAGTACTAATAATTAGAATATGTCAGCACTGGAAGACATAACACAATATGCTTCAACTATTCAGTTTCTTTTTTTTTAGATAAACACCAACTTACCTCCACAATCCAGTCGACAAGGATTGCACGCATACTTTCTGTGATATCTCGCTGGAGTGTTTCCATGAAATTTGATTGCGGCCTTCTAATTATCTGGAGAAATACAAATTAGACTTTGCATTAGGAGAAGTTTACAGTTATCCACTGCAACTCAAAAAGACTACGGCTACTACTTGACGCCATTATCCTAAAACAAGGAAATCTTAGAAGTTATACAAGTTGAGATTTGGATTCAGGAAATTAAGCAAATAATGCTTATTAATATGCAGAGGAAAACATTCCAATAAGTAGGTGTCACAGTGGGAAAGTATTCTTGAGCTAAAGTATCCAGCATTCTTTCATAAGTGAACATATATTGAATGTATGAAGGAGGATTAACAAAGAAAAGAACCTAAGTGGTTACAGATAAAACTGAAATTATAACGAAAGTTGAGCATTGTTGCTGATTTGTCTAACCCGAATTTTGAATAAAACAGTGAAAAAGCATCCTTGAGGTGCTTGTGCAAATATGACCTTTGCCAGAGTGCCAATTACTTCTTCAACTAAGAAATCCAGAAGAACTGTGCAAGAATATCAATTAAACGAACCTCTGCAACCCGTAAATTGTTATATATATCATGAGCATATTGACTGCATTGTAGTGGATCTTTTTTATCAGAATCAATGTCTATGAAGTCCAACTTTGTTGATGTTGATGGTGCTGCATCACGAACAGCTTTCCCAACCATGCCTGGGAAAAAGTTCAATTAGTTTAGTATGCAAAAAGAAAAACAATAACAGAACAACATGGTCGCAATTACATGGAACACAAGAAAGCTAGTAGATATGAATCCTTTCTCTGGAGAAAAATGTCAAGGAAAGAAAGTGTGATGGAGAATTACAATCATTATTTAGGTCAAAAACATATTCACTAAGTACTCAAGAATAAAGTAAGAGGATAAGACCAAGGCTTCCTCATTGATTTATAAATTTTACTACGGAGAAATCTTGTTATTATCATCTCATTTTCTTAATCATCCAGTCCAGAACAACCACAAGCTTGTCAAAAGTTATATTGTCTCTATGAAACAAGTTCAAAAGGAAACTAACCTTTTCTTGGAAAACCTTTGATTTCTACTGGATTTCCTTGTTGTTCATGGGACTTTCTGTCTGAGCAACTTTGATTAAGGCTACTCCCTGTAGTTAGACAAATCAAGTGAATATTCATAAAACTGACTCAAATAGTACTTCTCAGATTAGAAAGACATGCTTTCAGCATCTTGACCCATACTTGGTGGTAACTTGGTTGGAAATTGATAGACTTCAGGGTCAACAGAAGTGGTCACTTTAGACACATTCATTGAGCTGTTTCCAACCCGCATGATCTTCTTCTTCTTCTGACAATTAAAATAAACTAAATCAGATAATAACAGGGATAAAATGAGCCAGCAGGAAAGTGTATACACTATAACCAAGGCTTTATTGGGATAATATAGAAGCACATTCAACACATGAATCCTTGAATTCGCTAATGCACAATACTATTCTCTACTTGCAATATTTCAGATATTTCAAACCTCTTATTGATATTTAAGGAACTCTACAACAGTCAATTTATGAAACTTGTTTCGCATGGTGTCAATGACAATGCAGATAATACAAGTAAAACAGGAAGAACTACTAACTGGGACTTTCACAGCATTGAGGCAATCTCCATTTGAAGTGTTGCAACGTAGATTTGTGACATCCTTAAGCACTGGCCGGCATTTCTGCTCCACACAGGAAGTAAGTGGAACATTCTTGTTCCTCACCCTGAGGATTGCCGGGTTAGAACTTATCTGCAGAGCACGTTTCTGGCCCCGCTGCTTTGGCAGTTCTGCAGTGCTAGCAACCATGGATTTTTCAGGGACAGCAGCTCGAGATCTTGTAACTCGAACCATGGGCTCAATTGCAGCTGAGATTACTGAATTTTCTCTCTTCATAGTGAGTGTGGGGGGCATGGAATTAAGCTAGTCAATTTACTTTTAGTTGAACCCCCTCATTTACCTGCAAAACTTCTCAAAGTCAGTAACATGACATATCAAGAATTATGAAGCTCAAGAAACAACGAAACTAACAAAACTTAACACGCTTTATCATGGAAGCCAACCATTATAATTTATAGCCAAGGCAAGCTTAAGCTTTCATGTTGACTAAATCTAGCACCAAATAAGGAAGAATTCATGTATAAATCTTTCCATAGGACTCCAATTCACTGGATAATACCGTTCAAAATGAAATGTGCATGTCATATCAAGAATAATGAAGCTCAAGAAACATTGAAACTTAACATTCTTTATCATGGAAGCCAACCATTATGATTTATAGACAAGGAAAGCTTTCGCTTCATCTTCACTAAATCCAACACTTAATAAGGAATTCATGTATAAATCTTTCCATAGGATTCCAGTTCACAGGATAATACCATTCAAAATGAAATGTGCATAAGAAACGCCCAATATTCCGGATCCATATTCACAAAAATAATACTCCACTCATCAAAACAACACGTCCACATGTCCTACTAATATCAAGCATGAACATTAAACTATTAACCATCAAAAGAAGTACAAATATGAAAGAACTTATTTCTCAAACAACAACAAACATATCCCACAAGTGGGGTTTGGTGAGGGTAGAGAGGTCGTCTCAGATAGTCTCTCAGCTCAAAGAAAACAATAGGAGTGAAGAAACCAAGGCAAAATATTAAACAATGCAAAGAACTTACATCTCCACTAATGTAAATGTTCTAAAACTTAAACAAGACAAAAATCTCAATGAAGCAGACAGACACCACCAATGTGGCTCAAAATCGAACTATAATCCAAGAAACGTTTAAAAATACGTCTTTTACCAAACATCTAGATGCCTAATTAAAGGAAATTCCTCTACATTTCTTCTTCTCTACTCCAAGAACTCAAAATTATCAGGCAAACCCAACGACCCACTTCAATAAAATATAAAAAAATTAACAATGTAAGAAGGAAGATTCAAAATTTGATAATTTCAAGAAACCCCAAAGACCATATCATATCAGCAAAATGTTATTGAACAAAGAATGTAGATTAATAAACCTTGTTTCTGCATTCAACAGCTACAAGAACATTCAAGAATGTGATCAAGACAGGATCTTGATGAAAGAAAATGGAGATTGAGATGGAAGAGAGGCGGGATATTGAGTTCAAAGTTCAAATTCAAGAAAATTGAAGGAAGGTTAAAAATGATAAAAAAAGAAATTCAATTAGGGAGTAATTCTTTATCTTGGGTTTACAGTAATGGCCTCTGAGAAAAAGAGAAAAAAAAAAAAACAGAGAGAGGTTTGACTGGTTTGACTAAAACGGTTTTATAGAACAAATTAATATTGTAATTTGGTTATTATAAGGTAAAACACGGTCCGAAAATGTAAAATACAAGGACATCCTAGCTGGCTGTTTTATTCCTGAATTACCCTCCTTACTTTGGAAAATTATACACATTTAGTCCTTTGTCGATTATAGTAGTTTTATTATAGTATGTATACTTGTATTTTTTTGCTTAAAATATGAAGTAAAAAATGTGTTATTATGAAAAGGTGAATCACTAAACCTGTTAAACATTTAAAATTATAGGTCTAATGATCGGAGGGAGGATGAATTCACGTGAATCCGAGGAACTCCCTAGATACACATTGTAACCTAGTTATTGTTACACCTCATGAGACCAGAATTATAATATGAGGTACTTACTCGTGATGAGTGCAGATAAATTTATGCAACTAAGTAGCTCATTGTATTAACTATGGTCCCGAGAGGAGTAACGATAGCTAGATATTACAATGCAAAGAGAGATTAATTGAGAAAAACCATCATTCACTTACCCTACTCAAGTGACTCAAATAATGGCATATTTGTACTCTTTTATATAAGAGATTCGATGTATCAATTTGTGCATATCTCGATTAATCCATGAATCTTTTATATAAGAGTTTCGATGTATCAATTTGTGTGTATCTCGATTAACATGAAGCAACTTGCTTGTAACTGGATTCAGACCTAATATTTCTGAATAACTCTCATACCTAAGCAACTACTAGGTCACCCCCTTGGGAGATGCTAGTACCATGTTTCAGTTATATACCATAGCATGTCCACTAAATTGAAAGTCATGGTCATAGCTTAGCTATATACATCAGCTTGTAATTAGGTATATATATGCACTTAAGAAATGAGACACATATGTATAATGGATGCATGAGATATGCTCAGAGAGAAAAATGAGACACTTCCATCATCCATTTAAGAAAATTAGGTGTCTGAAATACTTCAGTTCAAACTATACAGAATGGCAAGTTTTAGCTTGCATTTCCAATGATCAAATTGCAAAGCTTAAAACCCTTCAATTATTTATTAAAGGATAGAAAGTGTCTTTCATGGTTTTGTTGATGACTGATGTCAAGGAGAACCAGCTGACACTAAATTTTAGTCTGAGAGAATCATGAAACCATTCCACTATTTACCAGCTCTTCCAAACCTTTTCTGAGTCTTTCTGCAGCTACTCGACAGTCCTTCTCAATCAATCCTCCAAAGGCGATCCTAACATAACCTGGACAACCACTGGAACTTCCAGGGATCAGAACTATTCCATGCCTCTTAGCTAGCCAGTGAACTACTTTGAAGTCGTCCATGTATTTATCTGGCAGCTTTGCCCACAGGTAAATGGCACCTTCTCCTCCTTTAACAGCTCCTTCTCCCAAAGGAGATAAGGCTTCTTGAAGCACTTCTCTGTTCTTGACAAGGTCTTTAACTTGATTAGTTACCCATTCTGGTCCCATTTCCATTGAGTAAAGAGCCAGTCGTTGTGAGATTATTGAAGCACAAATCGGTATGTTGTCCTGAACTTTAAGGAGTTGAGCTGCGAGCCCTTCCACTTCCGATGGGTATGCTATCTGCATCGATTAAGACATGAGTTTAGCTCACTCACAAGATGAAACAACTTATCCAATTCAGGAGTAAATATCCAGTACAAAAGTTTGCTGAGGAATTCTGCTGCAAAATTAACATTGCAGCAAAAACATGTTATAAAGCAATCATGCCTCATTCGCAATAATTAGCTGTTGGAACAAGTCATTTTTGTTGCAAAAGAATACTTGTATTTGGTTGCTATTGAGACCAGTTTTATATCCAATCCCAGCTGATTACTCAGCCAGGCACACATGTTTTTATAAAAGCTAATGAATAACAAGTATAGAGAGATATATTAGAGGTGTCATACATGCTGGTTTTAAAAAGAGATGTGTGAGTAAAGAGAAGCGGTTTTATTTGGGATAAAGGTAAAGACGAGGGAGTTTATGAGGCAAGAAGATGCAGTTGGGGAAAACATAGAAAAATCATCTTTTAACCAGAGATATATTTTTCTGGTTGTGTCAAGAGTCGCCCAACAGAATAATAATCACTTGTGTGCCCAATATCATTACATTTCTAGATATAAGTTGGAACAAGAATCACTTACATATCCAACTCGCCATCCCATCATCCCATATGCTTTGGAGAAGGAAAAAATGTTGACAATGTGGTTTGCTTCTATGCAAACATGCTTCCGATCATCATACATGAAATACCTGCAAATAACTTGCAACATATATATAAGAACATATCATCCAGGAAAATAGTTAACCACAAACAGAGTGTACTGAAAAAAGTTGCAAGAAAAAGAAGGAACAGAGACGATATTTGACAGAACAAGATGTTTGCAATCATGGAGGAGCAAAGGCTCAATAGATACATGTCTTAACTATCTAACTCCTTGAGAAAACAACTTTCTAGGCCTATCTGTCATCTAGGGATTGAGAACAAACAGCAACAAGTTGGCCAATAAGGATAAATTCAAGACTGAACATTCTGTCACCTTTAGCTATTTCCTTTCCTCCCCTTCATACCGATTAAAATTCTGCAACAGATCCCAGGATAGCATAAATTTTTGGGAAAAAAGACAAATATACCCCTGAACAATCGTAAATGGTATGTGTATACCCTTCGTTATACTTTTGGTACACCTATGACCTTACCGTCCAAATTTTAGAGCGTATATACCCTTTATACTAACCAATGACCTTACCATCCAAATTTTAGAGCGTATATACCCTTTATACTAATGGTGATACACGTGTCCTAATCCTATCTACCGACCTGAAATTTATTAAATTTTTCTACCAAAAATTAAAATTCCCACCCGGAAACCCACCCAAGTAAAAATACCCGCATCCAATTTATTCCAATTTCTCTCGCTATCCCCAAAAGTACATCCACTACATTGGCATCCAGCAATGTTGATTTCCCCTCTTGACACACCGCCAAATTGCACACCACCAAGATTACCCTACCAGCCATATCGTTGGTTTTGAGCTAATGACGAGTCAATGTCATTTTCCAGGCCAAGATGAATATCGCGTGTGTTCTTTGGTCTCCTCGGAGCTGTCATTGAGAAGATTAATTAGCAGAGATGTTAGTTCCAGCTGGAACAATTTTCACTTTGTTGACTTGTGCCAACTAGAGGTTGTCTAATGCGACGACAATGTTTGGTTGAACTCCGGCATACCTCGACACTAGTAACGGCTTGAAAGCCGATGAAAATTGCGGCGTGCACAATGTAACCCTAGGTGTGTGTTTAGCATAGGAATTGCAGTTATGTTTCACAGATGACAGATAACATCTACAAACAGAGAAAATGAAGTTGGAGGAGGCAGATGATGGGATTTCGTCGGCGATAATCTCTGACAAAATCGATTGCGAAGATGAAGAGGAATAGCTGGAGGGACGAGTAGTAAAGGAAGTAGAGGCAAGTTGTTGACGATGACAGATTCTTCAGAGCTCGAAAAAGAGTTGAAGCAATGATTATTCCTTGATTTCATTTCCGATGTGGTGTGAGAGAGAAGCACATGTGGATTCTCCGCTACCCAGTTGAGCAATTTGGGTTATATTTTTGGATCTGGGTATCATGTATTTGGGTGGGGATTTTAATTTTGGTAGAAAAATTTAATAAATTTCGGGTCGGTAGATAGGATTAGGACACGTGTATCACCGTTAGTATAAAGGGTATATACGCTCTAAAGTTTGGACGGTAAGGTCATTGATGTACCGAAAGTATAACGAAGGGTATACACATACCATTTATGATAGTTTGGGGGTATATTTGTCCTTATTCCCTAAATTTTCTTGCCTATCAAATTTAGTGTAAGTTAAAAGTTCACAAATCATAAATATTTCCTCACAATGCCAACACAAACGACCTGTATCCTTGGTTTTATTCAAAAGTCTCTTGCTGGTCTAACTACATGTATTCCAGGATTAGTCAATTCAACAACTACTTCCCTCATCATCTTTAGTTCTAAGACCATCATCACTCGTCCACGGACGAAAAAACAAATTGGCACCAGTCATTAACAGCAAGTACTCAATTCAATACGAGAAACTAAAAGATTTGTATACAACAGAAAAAGTCACTTACTCATATGTGTTATCAATTACGAGCCAACATCCCGCTTCCTTACAAATATCAGATATCCTCTACATGACAAAAATGCAACTTGTTAATGTTTTAATAAAGTAAAAATCACAAGAGAATACTAATGCACTTTGATAACTGATGACTTCAATAATCCATCATATCTATAAAGATGAGATAAGAGACCTTAAGAAGGGACTCAGGGATATATGTTCCTGATGGATTGCCGGGATTAACAACAGTGACAAGCTTTGGGGTTGGTACAGTCTTCTTTAGAGTACTCTCCAACCAGTCTGAAAATTGAGAAATCATGGAATATGTCAACCCATAGACAATCAAACAACAAAGGCAGATAATGTTTTGAAACTCTCAAGTCCATTTTGCAAAACAGTTGCAATATTTAGGTTAGCATTATGCATCAAAGTGTCAAACTTTTAAGTTATAACACACTTAAATCAGGTCAACAATCGGGAGTGAACTTTACTAACTTCATTTTTCTTTTTCTTTTCTTTCTGGTGGGGATGGGGTGTGGACATCCAATACAAGAAAAAATGCAGAACAATTGTTTTCCAGACAACATTCTACAAATCAAGACCATTATGAATGATTTACACAACTTGCAACACAAAGCAGAACACTACTTCTGCAGCAACCTCATCTTCAGTTGATTTCTACACAAATAGTGTTAGATTCAGAGAAGATGGAGTTTTTTTATAAATTTCAAGCAAAGGGGGAAAAAGTAACTCATAGTACAAATGTGATTAGTGATTACGATATATTCCCAAGTGCTCAGGCGACAAAGATAAAACGTGTTCACTAAAACTTGAACATGCATGCTAGCACAAAAGAGATGTATACCACAACATCTAGTATAATCAGTCTTAAGGAAAACTAATGGAAGGAATAGTAGTGTCTTAATAATGGGGAGGGTACCACGAAATGAACATCATATGAAAGTACAAACCTGCATCAGGATGGAGTGTCTTTGCGTCACCAGGACCCACCAGAATATCAGTAACACCTGTCATCTGGAATGACATGTGTGCATTGAAATAGTATGGTGCAAACATAACGACCGAATCGCCAGCATCACACAGTGTGAGAACGACATTTACGAAAGCCTGAAATCGATTCAGTAAGATTCCATTAGAGATTTCTCAGCGATAGGGATACAGCTAGTCCATTAGTCACTAACAAAGAACATAGACATATACACAAATTAATTTACCCATAAATGTAGCATCTCTATTTCACTACAAATGGCTCTTTAATATAGCTCTACTATCTTCATTCAGCTTAAGATAGCATCTGAATTTGTTTATTGTAGTAAATAGTGATTTTAATTTGGAGCACTATTGAGGACACCACTCTCCTATTCAAAAAGAGACTACTGCTCTGTAATGGACAGGTACGTAATGATATGTCTGTACTCTGTACTCATACTTTGTGAGCCCATTGAACCATCATTTAATCAGTCATGGAAAGTCTAGCCGATTAAATCTCAAAATACCCTAAGTAATCCCAAGTTCAATTTTGCAGACAAAATTTTGAGGTTCAAGTGCTTGAGCTTGAGCATTTTAGGTATGTCGGTAGATTTTTTCTCTAATATGTTTCTGACAGATGATGCTAAATGGGGAGTTTTGTTGCTGCAGATGTTCGCATTGCAAGATTGTCATCTCATGAAAGTGACAACATACAAAAATATAGTGATAGCATGCAAGAACTAAAAGAGGTCTTATAAAAAAAAATAGAGAACTTTTTTTATCAAGTTGTAGCATGGAGCTGAATAAGCCCACAACAGAAGAGTAATCTTCTTTTATCAAGAAAAATATACATAAGCAGAAGAATAATCTTTAGATGGGTAGAAGCAGAAGAAAATAAAATCCACATCTCAAAAGCACACCAACCTTTCAGTACACATCATGATATACAAAGAAGAAAATTTTCACGAGTGAGGTAGTTCTATATGTCTTTTCATAAGTCCTCCATACCGTTTATCAGGAAAAGCACTATATGGAAGCTAGCATTTTGTTGACTACATAGACTCTAACAAGTCTTCCCCGAAGAGGGGGAGAGAGAGAAAGGGGGGTAAAAAGAAAGGAAAAAGATCCACTCACGAGATGAATCTCTTAGTTTGATGACAATGCAGATAGTAGAAAATTGCAATTCCTTTGAGGAGCCCTACCGCGTTTCTAGTATGAACCAGCCAACTCTGAACATAAATTAAGGGAAAAGGGGAACTGAAGAATAGCTAAGGAAGGTGAAGTAAGCATGCACCGAAATACTGGTCCTTTGTCAAAGCAAATGAACCTGGTATGAAGGTGGAGTAGAATCAATCTCAATCCACTCTAACTCATGCAAACAAATCACCAAAATGCAGTTTCATTCTACACCGTCCAACCTTTATCTGGAAAAAGCTGGAAGAAAGGCGAGAAAGAAAGGTAGCCTACTACTATTAAGGACAAGTAAGAAAGAGAGGCGAGCTGACTGGCACCTATACCCTCTAATGACTGAAAAGTAATAAAGTATCATTTTACCTGATTTGCACCAGCAGTAACCATCACTGAGGATTTATGTAGGTTATTTTCACGACCCAACTGGAGAAGAGCACAAAGAAAGTATTAGACTGAAAGATGTAAAAATCAAATCTCAACAAGTGAATAATATAGTTTGAAAACATGAAATGTATGTGACAGTAACTACTGGTTCACTAGGCAAAGTACCATATGCCACTCCAATGTTTGTTCCACTACCCAGCCTATAAGATGCAAACCAGAGTACCACAGTAATCCAACTGATAAACCATACCTTTTGAATCAACGCCTCCCTAAGCTCAGGAAGGCCCTCATCGGCACCATAGCGACTAACTGAAGGTTCCCAGATAGCTTCTTTCACTTTTTCAAGTGCTCGAGCAGGTGGTTGCCAGTACACTACTCCCTGCAAGACAGAGAAGAAATAAGATGGTACCAAGATATATGGACGGAAAACATGGACAAACCATATTCAGGCAAAACCAATATAACTTCTCAATCTAACAGAAAGATCCACCCACAACAGATAACTCTATTCCTTTTGTTTACTCTTTCTGGAAGGTGCATAAGAAGCAATAACTACCCACCCATTCCCCAGGCCCCAACCCCAGCAAACTAGACAGCTTTTAAAACTTCCATTGGTAGGTTTAGGTTGATTAAACTTTTTTTTATATGGAGGTTGATTAAACTTGCTTGTCAAAAGATCGGTCCTCAGAGATTGTAATAGTACCAGTCCTTTGTAAAATAGTCCAATACTAGACGGATAACACTTAGGGATAACTTCTCACAGCATGGCAGGGCTGCAGATATTCTTCTGAATCACAGTATTCTTGGTTAACTCAAACAAAAACAGATCAAAAGAAAAGTATTATGACTCTTTTTTCACAGGAAAAGGACAAACCGACTATGGAACATAATCTCCATTCTCCACATTCAAAATCATCTGCAAATACATTCTTTACATGGGAGAGAGGTCCAATTGGAATTTATTTATTTTTCCATCACTAGCTTAAATATTAAGGAATCCACATTTCAACCAAAAAAAATTGAAATTGATAACCCCAAGAATAAATCAGACAAATTTAATCTAAGTCAATCTAATCAAGATTTCGAAAGGCACAAAAAGATGATCTGTAGGCGTCAAAGTCATCACAACACAGATGAATTTTATCAAAGTTCTCAACTTTTTGAACCTTTCAATGGAGATTAGAATAATAAAACTAATGAAACAAACATTGAAGAAAGTAAACAAACCTGAGCTAGAGAAATACAATCTTTATTACCTCGAACCAGTTCTTGTATCTATCAATTGCAAAAACACAACAACAACAACACATCCCATCAATGCACAGAAACTTAAACCAAACAAACAAAAAACAACAAATCCAATCTTGGTTCTTGAAATTTACCTGAACCATAACTGGTGTCTCGGTAAGCACAGCTCTTCTAGCAAGCATTCCAAAAGACCCCATTTCCTCTTTTCTCTCTAAAACAATAAAATAAACACAACCTTCGAAGAAAAGAGTTCTTATCCGCCTACCCAGAAAGCATAAAAAAGGCCTTTTTCCTTTCTGAAAAATCTTACAAAAAGGTTGGAACTTATATAGAAAGAGATCGTAAAAAATACTTATAAAAATTGGATCTTTTTGTTAAATTAATGAATAAATTTGACTGCTACGGACAACCCTTGAAACTGTTAACTGCAAGTAGGAATTAATAATATAGTAGTAGCTGGCAAAAGGCAAAAGCCACCCCTTTTTGTATTTTTGTGTTTCATACACGTTATAGCATATAGTTTATGTTAGGAATTTGTTTTGACTGTTAGAAGTTGAAGTTTCCATTATTAATTTTGGTAGAGAAAACGAAGCACGTTTCTCTCTTTGCCTTTCTTCTTGTTTCTGTTTTTTTTCCCCTTTTTAGTGCCTTCTTTGACCCTATCTCCCCCACCAACTTATCCAATTCTTGGTCTAACACGAAAAAAATATGATAAATAAATTAACATTGATATAGTAAATATTATGGGATTGTATGATATCGAGATGAAATAATTGATTGAGAATATTTCATGAAGTTATTCTACTACTGTAGTATAAAATATAAATAATAGAATAAAAAAAATGAAATTTCACATCCTGTATTTTGTTCTGAAATTATTATTTTGTATCCTTCGTATGAAATGACCTCTTAAAGAATCATTGTACGAAAATAAGATGGACAAAGTTACCCCATATGAATGAGTAATAAGAGCATGCAATTACTTTTATTTTTCAGTTTCTTATTCAATCCCGCAAATACATTTGAATTTTGATTAAATTGAATTAGAAAGGTGTAAGATGCATTTCAAAGAGAAGTATTTCATTATACGAATATAATTTTTTTTCATATATCCTATCACTACCTTGTGTTATTTATTTATTCCTTATAAGAATAGAATTTTTATTTATTTATTCATCCCTTATACGAATAGAATTTTTGAAAGAGAAAATAATTTTTTTTTTCATTTTTATTTATCCCATCATTACCTTGTATAGTTTATTTATTTATTTATTTATTGTTGTTTAGGAAACAAATAAGACTTGAAGTGCGAAACTTCCGGGTACATTCAATTATTTTATTTTATCTTATTCTTCTAGGAGAATCTATGAAAGTGTGAATTCATGATAAGAACTTTTAAAAATATGGTTAGAAATAAATGCTTTTTATTTTAAATTATTTTTTTGGATTTGATTTGATATAAAGTTTAACGTGTTATTTTAAAATAAAAATATATATTTAGTTTGCTATGTCTTAATTTTTTTTAGCTTGTTTCTAAAATATGTCCTTTTTTTATAATTTTTTATTTTTAACTTTACATGTTTAAATCAGTATTTTAAAATATATCTTTGGTTTAAAACTAAAAAAGTAATTAAAATTTATATCAAGTATTAAAGCAAACAAATAAATTAAAATAGAAAGAGTGTAATATATTAAAAGTATCCTTTGAATTATTCTAGGATATATTGGGTATAAAATATTATTGTAAATGGAGGGAGGGAATACTAATCAATGAGGTTTGGTAGAAACAAAAAGGCTGGTAGGAGATAAGACTAACACCCAATGACCACTTCTTTTGCTTTTCCTAGTTTCACGACAACACTGAATGAATAATATATTACGCTTTCGCGTTTCAATTTATTTACCTGATTTTGATTTGATACCAAAAAAAGATTCTTAAACATATTGTAGTTTTAAATTAAAGATACATGAAATATATGACAATGCTCTACTAGTAGAGTTGTCTGGTCAATTCATATAAGTGTCGTGTTCCATGCAATTTTATATGAATTCTTCACGATATTCACATGAGTTTATTTTTCCATGGTTGTCAACAAAGTGGTAATCACTGTGGATATAGTACAAATGTACAATTACATTTTTGGTGCTCTTATTATTTGGATTTTGGAACAAAATATCATCACTTACTCACTTCACTTGTATTTTATGCTTTTTAGATACAAAATGTGAGGATGAGTGACAGTAATTGCAAACAAATTGAAGCAGATTATAATGTAAAATTACACGAATCTAACATGTGTTTGGATCTGCTTGTGCGCACTTTGACTGCTTCCATGAGGTTACCTGCTATCTCCCACTAGAATAGTTACCAGATAACTCTGTCTACCAAGGCTTGAACTGTTGTCTCTGGCAGGGATTGTTGGCCTAGTTTCTTGATGTCGTTTCCTTGTCTAATAGCGGAATTTTTCTCCTCAAACTGATTCTTGGCCTCTAAGAGTTTCATGTGGTTCATTTCCCCGCCCAATCTGTCAGCTAAACGGAGCATCTCTCTTTCATGTTCAATCTCCTCTACAACTTTTGGAGATATGTATTCAGAATCTCGTAGTCTTCTTTTATATCCACCTCCTGTTGCCCTGGATGATTTCTGCAGAGAAGTACATCATGATTGTGAATGTCCTTACATCTGGTGATGGTCCAAAGTTCTTTATTGCTTCAAAAGAGTTGCATCCTTCTCCCTCTGGCTTGTTTCTGCCAAGTATTTTAGTAAGATATTACATGAATAAATATTCTGTTTCAAGTCCAATTTCTTTGGCCTGCTCAACAATGTCAATAGCATGATCTAGCAGTAAACGCCTTTCATTAATACATCAGCAACAAGATTTGATCTTGCACCATTATTAGGTGAATGAAGTCTGCAGAGCAAGACAGCTTACATTATGCAAGTCAATACCAGCATTTTGAAAGTTGAAAAGAATGCAAGGAATGATACACCTCGAATTATTTGAGACCACAACTTCAGTTCAACTGAGGGGTTGAGTGCTAGCAGATCTAAGGTTTTCAATAAACGGCTTTGTCAGTATCAACAACAAAAGGCAAAGATCTTTGTGCAAGAGAAAGCCAAGAAGACGTCAGTTTGAGGTCTTCTCCTTACTCAGATTTCTTCTCAATAAAGTCTTACCATTGATCTCCACAATTGCAGCTTCCATTCAAGAACTTATGGTATCTATTAACATCCCGCACTATAATCTCTCTATCAACAAGTCTACTAATATACTTAAATGCCTCATGACAATCCCTGCAAATTCTCAAATTCTTCACAATCCGCAAAGCTTTACCAGGTGGTGCTGTTCCATTCAACAATCCAAATGCCAATGCCAGCTTCTCACTGTGATGCCAAAGTGATTTCTTCTTCTCCTTCTCTTCTACTTCATGCAACATTTCAGTCCATACGGGCACGTAACCCAGTTTCTCAATCTCCTCCATCAACTCTGTTAACTTAGCATAAATCTCATTGGTTCTCTCATGCCTCCTATCACCAGCTAAAAACACATGAACCTCACCCAGCGCTTCAATCCAACTCTTCCCACCTTCCTTCCTCACTTTCTTATCCTTCATTTTCTTCCACACCTCCCTCACCTCATCCCACCTCCCTGCACTTGCATAAGCATTAGCCAAAATTACATAAGCTGAATCATCCATTGGGTTAATCTCCAACAACCTATCACTCATCCTCCACGCAATATCCATATTCACATGATATGCACATTTAGACAATAATACTCGCCATAAAGCTGCATCTGGCTTAAAAGGCATGGTTAAAGCAATTTGCTCTGCCTCCTCCAGACGTCCTGCTTTTCCCAATGCACCCACCAAACACGTATAGTGCTCAAGACACGGCTCCAAACTATACTCTTCCGTCATCCTCTTGAACCATATCTCAGTCTCTTCAACTAAACCTGCATTGTATAATGCCGTCAAAGTAGCTAAGAAACTGTACTCATCTGGTACCATTCCCCGTTCTTCCATTAAAGTGAAAAGCTCTATGACATTTCCATGTTCCCCTTGTTGAGCATGCCCTGCCATCATCGCATTCCACCCGACAATATTGAGTTCCATTTCAAGCTCATCAAACACTCCACGAGCGTTCCCCACAAGCCCACATTTCCCATACCCATCAATCAATGCACTGCCTACAATAACATTCAAATTAAGCCCTGTTACCATCGCGTGCCCATGAATAATCCTACATTGTTCAAGCATAGCCATGTCAGAACCCGCCCGCAAAGCCCCAGAAACACTAACCATAGTAGATGCCATACCACTCCTCCTCATTTCAACAAAACACGACAAAGCATCAATAGGCTTATAATTCTGAGCAAACCCAACAATAACCGAGGAGAAACAAACCTCATCTCTCACAGACATTTCATCGAACACCTTCTTAGCATTATTCGACAACCCAGTTTTAAAATACAATGACACAAGAGCTGACGCCGTAAACAGCTCTGAAGAGAAACCCAATTTGACAGCAAGAGAATGAAGTTGTGCCCCAAAGGTGAGTGCAGGAAGAGTGGCGCATGTTTTGAGAAGGGACGTTAAAGTATGGCTATTGGGTAGGATTCTTGAAGGGTGACGGAGCATGGAAATGAAATGATGAAAGGAAAGTGGTGAGTTGGAGAATGCAGATGTGAGGGCTGTCCATGAAACGACATTGGGCGATGGGATTGACCGGAAAACACGGGCGGCGTCTGACCGGAGATCAGATTTGGAGTAGAGAGTGATGAGGTTGTTTAGCACTGCACGGTTAGCTTTTGCGGCCCCTGTTGTGATGGCTCGCGCATGTACGCACCGTGGGTCTGTTGAATCCATTTCTCAAGCCTGATTTGCTTGTTTCATCGAACTAATACCAACACAATGGACCCTAATGGTGGGTGGACACGGATAGATTAATTAGGTAGTTGAGTGTTGTCGTGCCAAGTGTCTTTATACCTCTCAAAGTAGGGCTACGGATAGATTAATTAGGTAGTTGAGTGTTGTCGTGCCAAGTGTCTTTATACCTCTCAAAGTAGGGCTACGATTTGCTTACACTCTACTTTTTTCAAAATAACTTTGTAAAATTATGTTGAATATGTTGTTTTGTAGTATTAATCTGAAGAAAATATCAGTACTAACACTAAATATTTTAGACAGTATCATCCATGATGTACTGACTATTCATGTTTCAATTTTCAAATGTAAGATTGTAATAGCAACTGACTGAAAGTTCACTATGAAGTTTGAATAACAAAAAGTAATAGAGACATGTTCTTCACTCGAGAAAACATTCCATAGAAACAACAAAACAAATACACAAAAATGATGACATCTACAAACTAGTCAAGAAAGTAACAAAAGAAAAATTAACTTTGACAATACTACTATGCGCCGGTCTCAAACAAGTTGAGATCGACTATATGACTAACCATATTTAACTATAACAATGCATCGTCAGGATCTTTCTTTTCTTTTTTTGATAAGGTGTGAGGAATGTTAAACACTCTGTGCATCTCATCAGTCATGTCATAAGCTAGATCATAATTTCTGACCATTTTATATCCCTTGATCATTATTCTATAAGTGACTAAATCAGGAGAGATGTTTGTTTCTCTGATTCCATCAAACAACCTCTGGGCCTCATCCATTCGATGTAACTTGGAATATTTATGGATGAAGCAATTGTAAATATAGACATCAGGAGAGATGTTCTGTCTTACCATCATTCTGAACAACCTCCTGGCCTCATCCATCTGATCTAACTTGCAAAATGCATCAATGAGGCAAGTATAAGTAACAACAGTAGGCCAGACTTCTCTTTTTTGCATGTCAAGGAGCAAAGCACATGCCATGCTCATATCTTTAATTTCACAAAAGCCAGAAATCATGGAGGTGTAATAGATGTTATCGGGACTCATACCCTCCCTGATTATTTTCATGAATAGTTTGTGGGCCTGTATCACTTTTATCTGTCTTGCAGCTTTTTTCACTTTCCCCCGCTTGCATAGCATGTCAATAAGAATTGTGTATGTGATGATGTTAGGAGTCATCTCAAGTTTAAGCATTCCCATATAAAGCATCCTAGCCTTGTTAAAATGGGACTCTTTAAAAAATCCATCAAGAAGAGTATTAAGAATTGTAACATTGGGAAACATGTCCCTCTTAAGCATCACCGTGATTAACTCCAATGCCTTCTTTGTGTTTATATCTTTGCACAACTGCTGAACAACTACATCATAGGTAAACAAATTGGGGATGATGCCTTGATCCACCATTTCATCAATCAGGTGCAAAGCTTCCATCACACGCCCATCAGTACAGCACTGCTTAACAATAAAATTGCAGGTAATGGTATCAGACAGGTAGCCTTTTTGTACCATCATAATCCTGTACTTCAATGATTTATCAACAGACCCCATGTCACAGGAAGCACGAATTAATTTCAAACAAGTTGAAGCATCTGGAGCCAAGTCACTGCTGATCATCTCCTCCAGTAGCTCATCGGCTGAACTAAGATCTCCTTGAGCACAAAATTCAGTAATTAAAATGTTGTAAGCTGTTTGGCCAACTTTGTACCCAGAATTCTTAAGGTAATGAAAACAATCCTTTGCAATTTTTGCTGCTCCAGCTGCGCACAAACCCTGAAGAATTGAGTTATAGTTAATTGGGGTAGGCTTGATGTTATTATCTTGCATACCTTGAATAGAACATAAACCTTCATCAATAATCCCGAATTTGCTGAACCCGCTGACAAGAATGCTATAGCTATATATATCTGGTGTTATTCCAGAATTACTCATCTCTTCAAAAACACTTATAGCTTTACTTACTTCGCCTTCAGAAAAGAATCCATGAATGATAGCATTGTAGCAATAAGAATTCAAAGATTGGTTCTCATACCTCAGTCTCCGAATGAATTTCAAAGCAACATCAGGACATCCAATTCTACAGAGTCCAAGGAGCCATACACTATATGTTGCAGCAGAAAGACTGATCTCTTTTTCCCGCATTTCTTTCAGAATCTTATAGGCTTCTTTTATAGATACCTTCTGTGTGCCTGAATAATTTTCACAGTAGAAATTCATCATGATTGTGTATGTCATCACATCAGGTGAGGGTCCAAAGTTATTCATTGTTTCAAATAGTCTAGCAAGATTCTCCCCTTGATCTGCTACTGCCAAGCAATTTAGTAGGTAATTACATGAATAAATACTTGGTTCAAGCCCGATTTTCTTAACCTGATTAACAACGTCAATAGCATGATCAAACAGTTTATTTGCAATAAAAATCTTGATGAGTTCATCAGCTACAAGAGTTGAAGGTGTTGTATTATTACTTGAACGCAGAACAAGATGCATTACCTTCAATAAGTCAACACCAGCATTCTGCAAGTAGAAAATCATTTGTTTAAGAAGTGTGTACACTTCCAAATCCATTCCAGCAAAGGCAAATGTATGTATCATCATTCTATAGCCATTTATTGAATGATACAAGCCATAATTTTTCAGAGATTTCTCAAAAGGAATCTCTTTCGCAACTTCCCAACTCAAAGACTTGCATACTGTAACTACAACTGAATACACCTTGCGACCTTTCCAGTTAAGTGAATTCCTTGTTGGTATAACAGCTTTATCAGAATCATACATCAAGGGTAATGAAGAAGAAGCACCATGATAGTACTTCCTACAAAGGCTTCTCTGCTCCTTAAAGAAACCCAATTCATGTAAATCCTTGAATAACAAGCTGAAGGACTTTCTTGGTAACAAACCTAGACCCATAGAAGAAAAACTTCTCAACAATTATACAGAGTCTACATTATCACAAATAACCCAAGAAAAATCTTACATTTTTTCTTTTTCTTTGGGTAAAGTTTGCACCTTTATTCAAAATCTCAACCCTCATTGAACAAAAAGATAATATTTGATCCCCTAGACAAGCTCTAATGGTTTCTAAGCTCTCTGGTCTGAAATTCAAAGAATCTTGAAAAAGGGAACCACAAGAATGAATATTAGAGCTAAATTCGATTTAACAGTACACCCAAACTGAAAAAGATTGGAACAGTTCACCTCAGCACAGCAATTTCAAATTGAGCCCAATCTGAGGTTATCTGCTTCTTCTTCTTCTCATGGCGGCGGCTCAAAGCATAACTCAGTGAAGAGCTTAAAAACCATTCAAATTTTTCGGCAATGATAATATTGTTCAAAATAAATTCTCCTCCTAATTGAGTAAGTTTCTAGGTTTGTTTCGTTTTATTTGGCGGCAGCTTCTGCCTTTACTCTGGTTTTCTTTTGTAGTGCTGGTGCTTTTCAAACTTTGGCAAATAATTTAGATTTTATTTTTGGTCAAATAATATGATTTAATACTATGTTTTTTGGTCAAAATATGATCTAATACAATGTTTAAGTACTTATCTATCATCAGATTTTAACGAGGATAAATTTTAAAGAAACTTTAATCTTATGGTGTCTATCAAGAGATAATTCATTTTTTTTCGTTGATTTTATCATTGCTATTGAATACTACTTATTCAATGTCTAATACATTTTCCAAAACACTACATCTATTCAACGGATACTCTGGTAATATTACCCTATTATTAATCGTTCATTAAGGTGTCCCAAATCAATAGTGGACAACTATTATTGGACAAAGGAAGTACTCCCTCCGTCCCATTTTATATGTCATCCCTTTCTATAAATAATTAGACCATAATACTTGACATTTTATAAAATTTATGGATAAATTACCATATTTTACCTATTATATCCTTGATAGAGTAGTTAATTAATCTTGAAAATGTATTCATCATTTATTATAAAATTGAGTTTTGAAAACATTGTTACATCATTTCTTAATACAAGTGCAAACTAAAAAGGTAACATATAAAATGGGACGGAGGGAGTATCAAATATTACTCAATTTGTGTACCAACGCCAACTTAATATCTCAGCTTTCATGCACTGATCAGTGAATGCGGAAAACTTAAAAGAGAACAAGAACACTTTAGCATCAACAGATTCACTATGATTTAACTCCTGCGTATAAATGCATAAAAAGAAACTAATCAATGTGTGTTATTCAATAACTCAAATAGCAGCTGCTGTAGCAACATTTACATCATCAGATTCATCAACAATCATTTCATCACGAAATAGCAGTTTAAGATATGGAAGAACTCTTGGAAGCATGGGTAGGTCTGCTAAGTTAACACTCATCATATCAAAAGCAATGCTTGTTTTGTGCATGTGTGTTTCATCAAAAACTGGAATTTTTGGGTATCTTTGACTGAAATGAGTGAGGATGATTCGATATGCTCCAGCAGCGTCCCCTACTTCAATAGCTTCCTGTGTTGTGCTGTGATTTCTTGCTATGGCTTCTTCCACCATGCCATCTTCAAAGGTCGCCTGCATTAAACACCCAAAATTTTTATATATGCTAAAATGGGGAACATGTGGCAACTGAAATTTTTATGAGAATTGTTAGGCCAAGAGTATAGCATGTTGTAAGATTCTATTGACAACTTGGGAGGAATATTTGTAATCAGAAGGGGAGGGAAACCATAAAGACATTTCACAACTTGCCTCATGAATAAGAACTGTGGCCCCATGGGAAGCTGCAACTAGTTCTGGACAAGGCCTAGTGTCGCCAGAATAAACAATTTTCCACCCTGGTATCTTCTTCCCAGTGCTATTAGTCCTATCTGCCGCCTTCAGGACAACACCATATGCTTGTGGACAATGAATAACAGGAAAGCTGATCAATGCTTCCAATCCTGCTTCTCTCAGAACTCTCTTCAACATTGCCAGCAATGGGAATGCCGCAGATGCATCAGCTGGACTGCCTGGCCTCTTCCAATAACTCTCCATACGACTCCCTTTAGCAAATAAGTTAGAACCATCCTTTTGGTCATTTTGTACACCTACACTCCCATTCACATCCTTGTTTTCACCTGATTCAAAAGTCTTCAATGAAGCTTCTGTAGTCTGCCTACAATCGAGGAACTGCATATCTAGGTCCTCAAGTTTTTGGTATGCATCAAGGAATATCTTAAGCTGCCGTGGTCCCACAACAACTAAAGGTTCATGAGGAGTTTCATTGAGTAAATCGCGTCGGAGAGCAAGTATTCTTGCAATACCAGTATGATGATCAGCATGAATATGAGAAATCCAAATGCACCTTAAACCTTTTACAGCTTCATCAGCACCTTCAATACCAAATCTGTTTACCAAGAAGCACATTATCCCCCAAACTGCGGTTAAACAAAAACCATATGTAAAATTGATATTAATGAGCTTATACATTACCTTCTTTTTAGCTGTCCCAATGTTCCTTCACCACAATCTAACAGAATACTTCCCTTTGAGAAAAGATTGATAAAAATAGAAGTGACGTTTCGATATTTTGAAGGCTGGGAAGAGCCCGTTCCAAGAAGAACAATCTCCATATCCTCTCTTGTTATACCTTCCAAACAACTAGGTAATGCAGTTTCATGCAACCAGGGCTCTTCTATCACAACATTGTTGGCCTGCAATGTCATGCTGCCTCCATTTGCAATGTTGTTACCATGATGCAACAGTTGGGTAATATGCTCAGAAGCATCCACAATTTCAGGAATTTCTGTAATTAAGTCTTCTATGATTTTTGGCCGAGAAGTAACTTCAGGAATACCAGATCTGTCTAAACCAAGCTGTGCATATGGGCGAAGATGGAACTGTTCCACAAAAAAATTGTTCATTTTGAGTGATGTCCAACCCAGAATCAAAGTCAAACAACGCGTGAGGTAAATTGCAGTCAATTCCACAGAAAAGCTCAAACACATTCCTAACCAAACATGGCATACAGTTTCTAGATTCTAATTTTACGCCAGTAGCAACCGGATCAAATATATAAACTCTCACCTTGAGGAGGTTCTCTGCCGTAATAACTTGACATGAAGCTGGAAGAGAGAACTGCAGAAACAAAATATAAAGATAAACTTCTCAATTAAACAAGCATACCCAATATTGATTCACTGTCCAAAGTAAACTTATCTTCCATTCAAGCATAATTCCAATATAATGTACCTCACTTGGACCTCTAGAGACTGAGGGTAAGCTCTTCAACTGCGGAAGAGACCAAAAACCAGGCGAAGGAAAGAATTGAGGACACAAGTAGTTAAGCCTTGTGGCGATTCTTGCACTAGACTTCAGAATTGGAATTTCAACATTCTTCCTGCGATTTATACAAGAAAATCATGCTGGTATATAAGCAGGAAATACACATAAACCGCAAAAAGATGTATATCAGCCTGAAAAGAAGAGAGCATTATAAGGTTACTCACAGCTGATGCCCTGCCATGACGTGCTGCACCTCACCAAATCTTGACATCCATTGCTGATATTCAGTTGTACACGTTACTGAAGCAGGACTGAGGTGTATCACACAATCAACTTTTTTGCACATTTCCTTGGATTGTTCGGATGGATCTGAGTAATATGGAGTGAGAGAATGTATAGAAGACAATTCTTGCAGATGAGATGGTGTTGGGCAGTCAACAACGAGTACAATAGGACCAGGAACAGAAGGCCCCAATACATCACCAGGGTGAACCTGCGCAATGCTCACTGAAACAATGAGATGAGTACGAAGTAAAGTAACAGCAAATAATAATCCTATTCTTACCATGATGTCTTGATGATCTGACTGTACAGAATTCCCGAGTTGCAATTCACGGCATTTTGGGCCAGGTCTCAACCCAAGAGCAGCAGCCTTTTTTGGATCAAACTTTCCCTTAATTTCAGGCAACTCACAAATATAGACTACCGCAAGATCCCCAGGCTTCAATGCAAATTCAGCTGTGGACTGCATCCTCTCTGCTGAAATTTTTTTTTCCAAATGATTGACACCAACTAGTGAATCATCAAGTTCAGAGGATCCTTCCTTTGTCGTCTTAGACACTTTTGAGTAGCGTGGTCGCAACAGAACAGCAGATATTTTGACAACCTCATCATTAATAGGAACGAAGAGTTCATCAGTAGCCCCTGAAGAATCAACAGGTGGACCAAAACTGCGTGCATGGACCATGGCGGCATTTGGGATGAATGATTTCATTGCATTGACCAAGTACTTGAGATCAGAAGGACCCCATACATTGACCTTCAAAATAAAGTTGTAATTCGTATCATTTTGTTATAATAATTTATATCAGCCAATTATCTGATTGATATTTTACAAGTAAACCAAGTTAATCTGACACTCACAGACATTCCTTCTTCTCCCATGCCAGCCAAAGTCAATAAAAGACCTGCAAGCAAAAGAATTTCACATATTCAGTGGTTTTTAAACAACCTCTGCCAATCATTAAGCCAGCACTTGCATCTTTCCAACATTGATTAATCTAGTCACTCAATAAGAAAAGCTATAGAAACAGACCTGGGAGTCCACCGGCAGTTTCTGAACAGACTCGCGACAGAAATATGTGATCAATCTGGGAAAGAAGAACGAAGAAAAAAAATGTATATACATCTTCCACAATAAGATCAACATCATACTTGAAAGAACAGTTCGGAAGTATAAACCTGATTACGAACAAATGGATTATACATATCCATAGTTCCATACCTTTGATAGCTTAATTTTATGCTCTGTGCAGAAGCGTTGCAATCCCTGAAGCAGAAGAACAGATTTAGATACAAAGAAATAAGTCCAAGTGTACTTTTTCTGTTTCTTCACAAAGGAAATAGAACCAAAAGAGAGCAATAAATGCATATGAATGGGAAACAATCTGCAGAACAGCATTGTGGAACGAAAACCCACTAGGATAATGGTGATGCAGGAAGTAGATAACCAATTAACCCATCATTAAAAAGCACAGTTCC